ACTTAATAACCAACTCACAAAGTTTCCAAAATTCCATGACTGGCTTTTGAGCAGGTATAAGCCAGCTCTCGGATACCTCTGGACTCAGAGCTGTTCAGTGAACTGCCCAGGGTCTCACTCCCCCACCCCCCGCACCTGAAAGCACAGTGAGGGGGAGCCCAGTGTGGAAGTATTCCCCTGTTTTTCCCACAAATAAGGGAGGACGAGGAGGGGGCGAGGTCCGCAGAGGGCTGTGGCGGCTGGTGAGGGCTCTGGGGAAGGAGATGCAGGGAGGAGGCTGAGCCCCATTGCAGACTCTGCCCAAACTAGAGGCCCTGGCATCACAGTGGACCCAGATTCTATCCTCGTGAGACTTCGAGGGGAAGTGGGTTCTCAGCCTGGACACGCAGCACACATGGGCATCCATGTGAGGACCTCGTGGGGGTGACAGTGTGTGAGGCAGAAGTGCGGGTTGAGTGTCAAGGGTACTGTAACAATGGATGCTGGCCTGGAAGGTAAGCCAGGGCCGGCCCCCAGGGAAGAGGAGCTTGAGGCTTTGGTGAAGGGAGACTGGGAGTTCTTGGAGGCTGGCTGAAGAGCAGAGACGGAAGGGCTCAAGGTGTTTGCCCCTAGGTGGGACCAGAGGGAGAGGGATAGCTGCAAAGGTCACGCAGGACAAGAACTGCTGGGCTGCGGAACGGTGCCGTGCGAGGCTGCGGGCCAGGCAGGGGCCCAGGTGCCTAGGGAGCACCTGGGACATTCGGGAAACTCAGTTTCTCAGCCGCCGCCTCTTGATTCCGCAAGTGAGAACAACACTTGCTGCTGCTGTGCTGAGTTAGGCTATCTTTATTTTTTTTTTTTTTTTTTTGAGAGATTTTCACTGTAGGGCGCGTGCGCTCGCCAGACAGACAGAGAGAGACATAGAGACAGAAAGCGAGAAATCACCCCCCAGGGGGGATGGTCACGCCGCAATCCCTTCTCCTCCATTCTCCTCTTGGGATCTTGGGCACGCACGCACACGCGCCCGGCGTGAGTTTTAAGCCACCGGGTCCGGGACACGAACCGCGGTCGACTATGTGGGAGTCCAGCGACATAGCCATTACGCTAACTGCTGGTTCCCAGTTAGGCTATCTTCAGGCATGGACCCCTGTGGAATATAAGAGAACTTGGAAAAATATCCATATAGTGGGGACCAGCAGATGGCGTAGTGGTTATGTTGCTGGACTCCCATGTAGTTGACGGCAGTTCAAGTCCTCGACCTGGTGGCTTAAACTGCATGCGGGATGCGTGTGCGTGCATGCCCAAGATCTTGAGAGACCAGAGGACAAGAGACCGTGGTGTGGCCATCCCTCCCCGGCGGGGCGGGGGGGCGGTGATGGTGGTGGTTTTTCATTTTCTGTCTCTCTGTGTCTCTAGTGAGCATAAGTGCCCTATAGCAAAAATCTCTCTTGAAAAAAGAAAATGCATGTCGTGATGTTTCATGAAAATGCAAGCATCTGTATTGGGCTACTGAGAGCACAACTAGTTGAAAATCATGAGGGACTAAAGAGTACCTGAGACGGCAGATCTCAGCTACCAAACTGCAGATGAGTGTGTGAGTCAGAACTGGCCGAAGCCACCAAAACGTGGACGCTGATCAAGAGAGGGAACGAGGCAGTTTGAGAGAAACACAGGGACGGGCTGGTTCAAAATTAATGAAGAGGAGGCCAGCCGGTGGCATGGTGGTTAGGTGGCTGCTTCCCACATGGCTGACTGCACGATTCAAGTCCTGGACCCGCTGACTTGAAACACCCAGCAAACCCATGTGTGTACATGCCCCAAATTCTGAGGATAATGGAGGAGAAGGGATTGTGGTGTGGCCATCTCCTCTGGAGGTGTTTTCTCACTTTTCCCATCTCTCTGTGGCAAGTGCATGTGCCTTACAGCAAATTTAAAAAATAGTGAAAATATATATATAACAAAGGGGAGCCATCCAGTGGCCCAGCAATAAAATGCAACACTCTGAGAGCTGGACGCATGGGGAGGTTCCAAGCCCATATCCAGAGACCTCCCTGAGGACACCTGGCATGTGTGCCCGTGATCTGGGACTGGCTGAGACTGGGATGTCCGTGGCATCAGGACCACACTGGGGACGCTGTCTCTGTCCCTCTTGCTCGTGGAAGAAACAAATAAGTAAACTTAAAAATAATGAGAGAGTTGGGACCAGCAGTTGGCGTAATGGCTATGTTGCTATAATGGCATAATGGCTATGTTGCTCCCATGTAGTCAACTGCGGTTCGAGTCCCAGACCCGGCGGCTTAAACTCACGCCGGGTGTGGGTGCGTGCGTGCCCAAGATCCTGAGAGGAGAATGGAAGAGAAGGGATTGCAGCATGCCATCCCCCGTGAAGGGTGATTTCTCGCTTTCTGTCTCTCTATCCTTCTGGCAACCACATGTACCCTATAGCAAAAACCTCTCAAAAAAAAAATAATAATAATGAGAGAGGGGCTAGAAGATGGCATGGTAGGTAAGGTGTTAAACCCCCATATGGCTGACAATAGAGGGGCTAGAAGATGGCATGGTAGGTAAGGTGTTAAACCCCCATATGGCTGACAATGGTTTGAGTCCCAGACCCAGCCACTTGAAAATCATGTTGGGCATGTGTGCATACATCCCCCAAATTCCAGGAGAATGGAGGAGAAGGGACTATGGCATGGCCATCCCCCAAGGGGTGATTTCTCACTTTCACTCTCACTTTCTCTGTCTCTCTCTGGCAAGCACGCACACCCCATGGCAAAGTCTTTTTTAAAAAATTAATTAGCTATTATGATACATCATTGTAGAGTCATCTAAAGCTCAATAGAGGGGATGCTTTCCTATAAAATTTGAGACAATAAGTAGAAAATATGATTATTTGGAACCAGCAGTTGGCGTAATGGCTATGTTGCTGGACTCCCATGTAGTCGACCACGGTTCAAGTCCTGGACCCGGTGGCTTCAACTCACGCTGGGTGCGTGTGCGTGCGCGTGCAAGATCCCGAGAGGAGAATGGAGGAGAAGGGACTGCGGCATGACCATCCCCCCTAGGGGGTGATTTCTTGCTTTCTGTCTCTCTGTCTCTCTCTGTCTGTCTGGCGAGCGCACACGCCCTATAGCAAAAACCTATCCTAAAAAGAAAAAAAAAGAAAAGAAAAAAAACGATGATTTATAAAGAGATTCAGGGGACCAGCCAGGTAGCATGATGGTCAAGGCTGCTGGACCCCACGTGGCCAACTATGCTGTTTCAGTGTTGGACCGAGCAGCTTGAAAAATACACCAGATGAGTGTGTGCCCACAATTCCGAGAAGAGAATGGAGGAAAAGGGACTGTGGCATGGCCATCCCCCCCTGGGGGGGTGATTTCTCTCTCTGTCTCTCTCTGGTGAGCACACATGCCCTTTGGCAAAAATCTAAAAAGAGAGAGAGAAAAAAACAGAGAGACTAATGTCTAACTTATGTAAAGATCTGCGAAACAAAACAAAAAAATAGCTGAATAGAAAAATGGGCAAAAGATGCAATTGGGCAGTTAACCAAAGGGGACAGCTTAAAAGGTGGCCATGTTTTGGCCCATCTGATCTGCATACAGGACAAGCATTAATGCTAAGTGTTGGCAAGGGTGTGGGGAATGGGTGCTTCGCCTGCGATGATGGGGGTGTACTTCAAAACAACCCCTTTGGCCTGCACTTCAGTAGTCTTAATTAACATAATGAACGTGCCCAGTGTGGTATTTACAAACTTTACCAAGTTAATGAGACACAAAGAAATAATGAGTTGTAGAATAGAGAGGACTTCGGTAGATTCATCTGATATGACTGATGAAGACAAATCGTTAGGTTAAAAACAAAAACAAAAACCTAAAGTTTGGGACCAGCAGATGGTGAAATGGTTATGTCACTGGACTCCCACATAGTCAACCACAGTTCAAGTCCCGCACCCCACAGCCTAAAACTCGTTCCAAGTGCGTGTGCATGTGTGCCCAAGATCCGGAGGGGACATGGGCGGAGAAGGGATTGCGGCATGGTCATCCCCCCCCGGGGGGCGATTTCTCGCTTCTGTTCCTCAAGTGAGCACATGAGCCCTATAGGAAAAATACCTCTAAAATTAAAAACAAAACAAAAACAAAAACAAAAAAAAACAAAGGGCACCAAATCCTGTAGGCAGTACCCACAAAAACATGTCATATTTAGAACTAAACTTGAAATGACTTCTCTTGAGAAAATGAACATTTCAGTGGGCAATTAAACAGTAGTATTGACTGAAAACTGTGGCCTTCATCCCCCCTGGGGGGTGATTTCTTGCTTTCTGTCTCTCTGTCTTTCTGGTGAGCACACATACCCCATAGCAAAAAACTCTCCAAAAGAGAAAAGAGGAAAAGAAAAGAAGAGAAGAGAAGAGAAAAGAAAGAAAAGAAAAAAAGAAAAGAAAAGAAAAGAAGAGAAAACTGTGGCCTTTGAGGCAAACAGCGTGTGGTAAAGGCACGGCCCTGTCTCGGGTGGGTGAGGCTCTCTCAGTCCAGCTCTCGTGGGTGGCTTCATTTCACTTTGTTTTTCCCTAGAAGCAAATACTTACCGTGAAGTTGCAGGGATGGAGAAGTGGGCGGTAAACGGGGATGTTGAACAGTATCCTGAAAAGAAGGGACGTGGAAAGACCAGCCTAGCAGACAGAAGCTTAGGTGGCACCACAGGCATCATGATGGTGTCTGCACTAACAAAACTAGCTTCTGGGACCAACAGGTGGCAAAGTGGTTAAGGTGCTAGACTCCTACATGGCCCACTGAGGTTCGAATCCTGGACCTGGGGGCAAAAACCTTAAAAAACAATAACAACGAACAAGCAAAGCTGTGAATACCAAAGGTGGGGGGGCATGCACCCTGCCTTCTGCAGGGCCAGCTGCCCCTGTCGCCAGGTCTGCTCGACCATCTGCCAGCCAGGGCATCGGCGTCAGCGTCTCCGAGGGCCTCTTGCCCTCCCTGACGCGTTGGCCTGTTTTTCCTGTTTCTCTGCAGGCACAAGCCTTGTCATCGTCCAGCAAGTTCGAAGCAGAGTTAAAAGCCGAGCAAGAAGAGCGGAAGCGGGAGGAGGAGGAGAGGCAGCTCCGCCAGGCGGCCTTCCGGGAGCTCAAGGCCACCTTCAGCACATAGTCTGGGTGCCCTTGAGCCCCGTCCACCACTGTGCCTCACTGATGCCCCGTCACCCCCACCCCCTGCCACCCCCTCCCTGAACTAGCCTCCACGCCCACTGGCCACCAAGTCCCAGGGGGCCAGCGGCACTCTCTTGTCCCACTGTCCAAGTTCCTCTGCGAGGGTCCTGGGCTTGGCCCAGTGCCCTGCTGGCCTCTTCCCCTGCCTGGGCTCCTCTGTCGCCCAGAGCCAGAGCTGGCCTCGTGGGCAGCCTCTACTTTCCCCCTTCCCTCCCCAGTCCACGTCAGAGTAGCCTTTCTTGGTGATTTGTGTAGACAGTTCTTCTTTTCCTTCTGTCCTCAGAGGGGCCATTGCCCACCTGCTTGGATAATTCTCTGCGCTCCTGCCCTGCTTCCCCGGCTTCCCTTTCTCATTCTCCGCCAGATTCTCTCAGCTGCTTCAGCATCTTTGGTGACGGTGGCCCTAAGGGAGGCCAGGGTGGACCACAACCCGCCTCATCTCCATCCGGGGCGCAGCGCCCAGCGAGGTCGTGCAAGGTACAGATAGGGAGCTCTGTTCCTCGTCGCTCTTCTCCTGACCCCTCAGCATCACCCCCAGGCCCACCCTCTCCGTGGCCCTCCGTCCGTGTGGCCCCACTGCCGTCGTGGCCCACTCTCCAGTACTCTGCTACGTAACTGTAAGGAGGAAAGAACGACTAGAATAGCGACGAGCAGGAGGACGCGTGTCAACTCCGACTCTACGCGAATCGTGGTAGGGTAGAACCCTCACGTTCCCAGTGGCAGGTCCAGGGCTTCCCCACACCCCCAAGGCCATGGCCATCCTTACCATCCACTGGTTTCCAGCGTCTGCCCCCGAAGGTACTGAGGTGAGGTACCCTCCACCCAGGTTTTTATATCTTGTAAGTTCTTGGGATTGTTCACGAATACCAGGAATTCGATGTACTTTTTAAAAAAAATTCCTAATGTATTTATTACATCTATTATCGGCTGTCTTGACAATAAAAATAAAAGATGTACCTTCCTACCTTACAACTATTTCTTTTCAAATAAACTACGCGAATGAACTTGGCCCTCACGGCAGTGTGCCTCTGGTCTTTTTTGAATCAGGGGAGAGAGGAGTGTTCTCTGTAGGGGCCAAGACCAGCCCAGGGCTTCTGTTTTATCTTCAGTCACTATAAGTACAATTAGAAATGAAGGTCCGGTTGTGTGGTCTGCTGGGTAGAGAGCCAGATCCCACAAGACTGATAGCTCAGTTTGAATCCCGAACCTGGAGCACTGAAAAAAAACTCAGCATGTGTGCACATGTGCCCGAAATCTTGACAGGATGGAGAAATAGAGAAGGAGTTACAGCGTGACCATGCCTCATGGGAAGGGAGTGATCTCTCTCTCTCAGTCTGGTGGGTGCATGAGTGCATGCTGGGGTCCAAGCTGGCTGAGGTGGAGTGTCTATGGCAGCATGGTGGGCCTGCCTCCTACCTTATAAGAAATAAACTTCTGGGACCAGCAGTTAGTGTAATGGCTATGTCACTGGACTCCCACATAGTCGACTGCGGTTCACATCACAGACCCGGTGGCTTAAAACTCACGCCGTGTGCGTGCATGCCCAAGATCCTGAGAGGAGAATGGAGGAGAAGGGATTGTGGCGTGGCCATCCCTCCGGGGGATGTCAAGTCACCAAAAAACATAGAGGAAATGTAAGTGTACATTGCTAAATGGAGAAAAGTCAAATCTGGGGCTAGCATGTGGCATGGTGGTTGGGGCACTGGACTCCCACATGGCTGACTGACACTCGAGTCCCAGATCTGGCAACTAGCATTCTCACTTTCCCTGTCTCTCTCTCTGGTCAAATTAAATAATAATAGGTAATATTAAATTCAAAAAAAGAAAGAAAGAACCCCCTTGCTACAGGGGCCAAGCTGAGGCTACATGGGAGGCTCATACTCATGGAAAGGCTTCATGCTCTCTGATTCTAGCTATAAGACACCCTGGGAGACGGTGAATAAGTCATCAGTGATTGGGGAAGGCAGAGGGGGCATTGGAGCACGTGACTTTCAGGACTGGGCAACTTACTCTGAGAATATAATGGTAGAAACATGCCATTATATGGAGCTGGCAGGTGGCATGGTGGTTGGGGTGCTAGACTCCCATGTAGCTGACCATGGTTCAAGTCCTGGACCTGGCAGCTTGCTTTCTCACTTTCTGTTGCTTGCTCTCTCTCTCTCTGGCCAAATTAAATAATAATAACAATAATAAATAAAAGAAGGATTTTTTTGAAAAAAAAAAAATAAACATGTCATTATACATTTGTCAAAACCCATAAAACGTACAACGCAGGGTGGCCCCCTGGAGACTGGGCATTGTATCAGTGTGGGCTCGCCAGTCGTAACGACGGCATCGCGTGCCTGTCAGTCAGTCACGGGGCCCTGCAGGAGCTGGCAGTGAAGAGGGCAGATAAGTGGGAGTGCGACTTTGGGCTCAGTTTCCCTATAAACCTGAAACGATTCTAAAAAATAGAGGCTATTGGGCTGGCTCTGCAACACGGTGGTTAAGGCAGCTGGATCTTGCATGGCAGACTCCGCAGTTCGAGTCCTGACCCCAGCGGCTTGAGAAACACACTGGGTACATGTGCCTGCCCAAATTCGGAAAGGAGAGGTGGAGGGGAAGAGATTGCAGTGTGACCATCGCCCGCGAGGAGTGCTTTCTTTCTCCCTCTGTCCCTCTGTCCCTCTGTCCCTCTGTCCCTCTCTAGTGAGTACATGTGCCCTCTAGATTAAAAGAAAAAAAGAAGGTAACATGGAAGGGCCTGAGACGGAAGAGGATGCAGATTGGCCCAAGTAGCCACGAAGACCTTGGCTCCCCGGTGCTGAGGGCCTTGGCCCCCTGGTGGTGCAGTCCTGCAGATGCTGCTCCGTCTGAGCTTCTCACCTCCCATTCCCACCCTCTGTCTCCCACCCTGGGTCTCCACAGTGACCTCCTAACTAGTGTTTCTACTTCCACACTGCCCTGTCTGCCTGGCAGCTAGATAAACTTTTTCCAAAAGTGTATTTATTGGGACCAGCATAGCCAACGCCAGTTCGAGTCCCAGACCCGGTACTTGAAAATCACACTGGGCTTGTGTGTGTGTGTGCCCAAGATCCTGGGAGGAGAAGGGACTGTGGTATGACCATCCTCCTGGGAAGGGGGTGATTTCTCACTTTCCCTCTCCCTGTGCCTGTCTGTCTCTGTGGCAAGCACATTTGCCATAAGGCAAAACACTCTAAAAACAGAAAGTGCATCTATATTGTCCATGGTAGCATGTGTATATGAAGGAAAGGGGGAGGGAAAAGCACTTCGGGCAGACCCGCAGCGCTGCGCTCTCCCTCCGCAGCCCTCAGCTCCTCAGTGCCTGGGGCCCTTCGCATGCACACGGTGTCAAGGGTGTCAAGCCGCCTGGCCTCCAGCACGCAGTTCAGTTAGCTGCCACTGCACCACCTGGCTGGCCTAGCATAATCTACACGATGCAAACATGCTCTTCACACCTTCCCTTCCGATCTGAAGCCGCACAGTCCGGATCTGGCCTCTGCTCATCCTCCTGCCATCCCTGCCCCTCCTCTCCTCTCCTCCTTCCTTCACGCTGCTGTGCTCCAGGTATAGGCACCGCTGAAGAGTTCCTAGAAAGTGCCATGCCTCTCAGCTCTCGTACACAGTGTTTCCTGCGCCTGCACTCCCTCCCCTTGGCTGGCAAACTAATGGTTGATGTCTGGGCAGCTCCGATGTTATCTTCAGAAGTTTCCTGATGCGCCCAGGCTAGGCGAGGAGTCCTTCTCAGGTTCCCCTCTCGCCCTGAGCGCTCCCTGTTGTAAGCTCAGGGCACCTGCAGCAGCCTCTTAATTGCTCTGCCTTTTCGTTTGGACTGTGACCTCCTCGAAGGGCAGGTACCCCGTCTTGCCTACTGTTACAGGCCTGACATGCTGCCTGGCATGGGACCGGTGGCCCGTGCATGTCTGCATCACAGGGACAGCAGGGCTGGTTGGAGCAGGTGGAGACACCTTAATCCGGGCCTCCTCGGCACCTACAGCTGCCTGGCCTGAGGGCACAGCTCTGAAAGGGAGGACAGCTGAGATGGTGGAGAGACCGTAAAACAATGTGTTCATGTATTTCTTCCATGAACGAGAGAGACGGAGCGAAGACCCCACTAGGCTCTTCACACCACTGTTCACCCCAGCTCCAGCCAGTCTTAGGTCTGGGACGTGCCTGCCCAGCATGTTCAGGCCTCCGGATATGAACCCAGAACGGTCCCGTGTGGATCAGCCTCACAGAGCCTCATGGGTTTTTTGGTTTTTGTTTTTCCATGAATCAAATTTCCCCACAAGGGGAACTTTAATAGTTACTTTAATCCCTCACGAAAACCCAACTGTAATCAAGTGAGGGAGCATTCACCTCTAGCTGTTACTGTCTCCATAATAAAACAAAAGATGCCGCTGGGAACTGGATCGCTTGACGCTCTCTCTTCTTGTCTCCTCCCAATTCAAAATGCTCCTATGGCTTTTTTTTTTTAAGAATTATTTATTTTATTTTATTTTCAAATTTGACCAGAGAGAGACAGCAGGAGGGAAAGGGAAAGTGAGAAAGCAAGCCACCAGGTCCGGGACTCGAACTGTGGTTGACCATGTGGGGATACAGTCCACGTGGTGGTCCTAACCATCATGCCCGCTGCCCACCCTGCTCGCATGCGTAACTGGCCAGCATTTCTGCAGCTGGGCTCTACGCATTCCCGCCTCAGCACTATCTGCTTCGGAGTTTGGGCCTTTCTCTGCAAAGTGGGCTTGGTCTGTCCACCGCAGCCGCCCCGCTTCCTGTCAGGACTCCACTTTCCCTGCGCACCGAGAGTTCTTGCCCTTTCTGTCTGTCGCCGTGTGAGGCTGGCGCTTGCCACGCTTACGGAAAGCCTGGCGGGTAGAAGGGACCTTCGCCGTGTTCACGGGTGTGCTGTGTGCACACAGAGCCAGCGCCGTGTTTCCAGTGGAGAGACTTTTCTCGCTGGGAGAGTGACGAGACCAGAGGCCCTCGTTAGGCTGAGCAGTGGGGAAAACGACCCATGCAACCGGCCTGGAGGCTGTGTGACGTCATGGGGTTTGGACTCAGACACTAGGCATGTAACTTGACCTCTCTGAGCCTCAATTTCCCCACCTGTAAAATGGGGATGACGACTGCCTACCCGGCAGATCCCGTGCCTGGCATGTATTTAGTGCTTGGTTCCCGGTCTCTCCTCCCCCTCAGCTACTGCAACTTTGTTGCCTCCTGAGCCCTGGGTCTTTAAAGTTAGGGCAAGGGCCAGCCTCTGCGCGTAGTCCATAGGATGCCAGGCTGCGGAGCCGGCAGCCACGTGGCCAGCTGAGTCCCTGGCGTCGGCCTGCAAACACACCAGGTAAGCACGCGCCCAGCAGGCTCCTGAGAAGTGGGAGGATTAGAGGAAGAAGATTGCAGCGTGACCGGGCTCCGTGGAGGGTGCTCCACGTCCTCTGAGCCACACATGTGTGCTTTATCATGAAAGAAAGGTTAGGTCCGAGGGCTCCCAGGCTCGGACAGCTCAGAAACGCCCACACCTGCCTGCTGTCTTGGTCCTAAGAGTAGGCGCCCACATCTGACTTCTCTGTTCTTTCGAGGTCCCATTCCCAGCTAACCCAGGAGATTCCTGCCTATCATCCTGTCATCAGCCACGCCCCTGCAGCTGGCAGGCTGAGCTCTCTGGGCCTGATGGCGTGATCTGACACCCGTGACCTGTCCCTGCTCAGATTCTGCCTGCTAACTCTGCCTGTCCACCAGACCAGATTCTGGCGTATCCCTGCCCACCTGCATCACTGTGTGGGAAAGACAGATGGTTCTGGAGCTACCCTCTGGGTGCCGTGGTGGAAGGATCCTGGGAGGTGCTGAGGGCAGGTCTTACCATGGGCTGGGCCCCCTGCTCCCTTCTTTCCCAAACCAGTCTCTTTTGGTATTGATGGGAGTGTACACTGCTATTGCTTCTTTGAAGGGCAATTTGGTAGACTGTTAAAATTAAAATGTGTGTCTAATTAGTTACTTCTTTTTAACACA